GGATGTCAGTTCATCCCTTTCAAAGAGGTACCCTGAGTTATACAAGGAGGGAATAAAAATATATTTTTCAAGTGGAGAGTTGTTGCAATGGGCCTTCTTCGCCGTCTATCAATCTCTAGTTTTCTACTACTTTGTGACGGATTCCAGTTCAACAAGTCAAGGTTCATCCGGTAAAATGTTTGGTCTGTGGGATGTCAGCACAATGGCCTTCACTTGTGTTGTTGTAACTGTCAATTTGCGCCTTCTTATGATCTGTAATTCAATCACAAGATGGCATTACATTAGTGTTGGAGGAAGCATTCTGGCGTGGTTCGTGTTTATTTTCTTATATTGGTATTATGACTTCATATGATCGACAGGTAATTCGATAATCATGTTTCATCTTTCTCCCTCCATTTCAATTGGGGCATGCAACTTAATGACACTGTTTGCTACTGCAGGAGAATATCTTTGGGGTCATATATGTCTTAATGAGTACATTCTACTTCTACGTCACTCTTCTTCTTGTTCCTGTTGCTGCGCTTCTAGGAGATTCCTTATTTGGGGTAAGAATGAGAAATAAATAAAAGTTTAAATATTTGATGCATGAGAATCATAATGTCTGTTTTGTTATTTCCGAACGAAGCCGTGTATTCCCCAGTTTCAAGCTGTCTGTGTGAAACTGCCGAAGCCGAATCAACCTAATATCATAGACACACTTTCATCCCCCTTAAGCTTGTTTCCCTTATTTTCTCAAGCACTATATATGAATCTTTTGAAATATTTGGTTTATTTTTTCTTGACACGTTTACATTTGTTTGCAGTGTGCAAAGATGGTTCTTCCCCTATGATTATCAGATTGTTCAGGAAATTCACAAGGACGAGGCTGATGGTAATGGCCGTACCGATTTACTGGGAATCGACAATCATCTTACACCAGATGAGGCAAGAGCTATGCTTTGTCTCAGTTGCCAAGGGAAATATCGAAACACGGGATTCGCCTTCGACTCTCCCGGGTCGAGTCGTTTTTCGCTTCACAGCTCGGCGTATATGCACCACCGAAGGCATGGGATGTTGCTCGCAGAGCCAGCATGAGGTCAAAGCCGAATCCAAAACCAACCAAAATGAATTGATTCGAAGGAACATTGTTTGTACAAATTCTTTTCCCCAACCCCCTTATTTGGTAGTCCAGCCTTAGAGAAATATGTAATATTAGTCGATTTGTTGTAGGGCCTTTTTGTTTTATACAAAATTGTTCCATTATATTAGAAACCACATTGAGTGAGAGGACTGCCACGGATGTACAGCTAAACCATTTATAGACAAATGCCAATTTATTTATGTATTTTTAAAGAAATTATGATAAATTATTGATATACAGGATGTGTAAAATACATGTGATTGTTTATACGGTCACATGTATTTCAATGATAAACCTTAAATAAGACAAATAATATTATTTTTAAAAAAATTATATCTAATTTTCTGATATTTGAAAGCGGAAATTGTCTCATGAAATTGTCACACCTATCGATATTTGCATTGATATCACATGTGGTCTTATTTTTATCATTTATGTGGTATAAACAATAAAAGGGAACTTTGTTCTTTCTAAGGTTTTTGGTTCGAATAGTTGCATTTATAGGGTGTGTGTATATTGTCAATTAGTTAAAAGAATTCCGAATGGATTTGAATTCTTCTCTAACGTAAAATTCCGAATGGATGTACAGTTGAAGGTTTTTGGTTCGAATAGTTGTATTAGAATCTTAGTTAAACGAATTCCGAATGTATCACCATAAACTATCTAAAAATTAAAATTATTATGAAATTGAACAGTTTTAACCTTTTTCAAAAACAAATCTCGGTAGATACAGAAAATCTAGTGTACATGGCCAAGATTAGTGTGATTCCACTGCATTGTGTTGTACAACTAGAGAAGCAAACTTTTTTGAATGGATTTTAACTGATTCCCGTATAAAATAATACTTGCCATTGAAGCTTCAAATTAGAGAATTTTCTGTCATCATTATTTTATTGTATAAATGGACTGCTTGATCAAATTGTTTTCATCACAACTTATCCGTGGACAGGACACACTCAGTTTCTCCGACCACAATATGCAGAGTTATACTCAGATGGTTATAGGTCTGAGTTTTTAATTCATCCGAATCTGATTTGAATAATTCAACTCGACCCGACTTTAAAAAGATTTTATCTATTTTAAAACTCGACTCGGTTGAAGTCCATGAGAAAATGAAAGAAATGCATAATTAAGGTAAGTCAACCGTTGCAAACATGTCAAAGACGAAGATGGGACAGTATTAAGATCAACATGCTGTAGGAACGGGAAGGCGGCGCAGCCCTCCTACTGTTTAGGTGTTAATATATATATTTATTGGTCAAAGTGTTATTCTATTCAGGGTCAGAATATAAAAGATTAAGAAGTAATATTTACATATCATTCGGCGGTTTAATTTTAAGGTTAAAGAACAATTGAGAATAGATGCAATCTAAAATGTTATATAAAAAAACATAATATTTTCGGTTAATTGTAACTTAAAATGTTAATTTTTTAATACTTTCGGTTAAACCGAAAATATTACTAATATAATAATATTTTCGATTGTCAATAAAAAATGTCATGAAAAATATGTGCAATAGAAAAATATTAAAGAAAAAGTTAACATTTTAGGTTGCGTCAAACCGAAAAATTTTATGTTCTTTTTTATTACATTTTCGATTACGACCCTTCTCTGTTGTTCCTTATTCTTAAACTAGGCTACAACGTCCCTTAGTCTCAAACTCTGATACTTATTAAGATATTAACGAGTATCCATAATTTTTCATATATTTAGGGTTATGAATTATAACTCAAATACACCTGGTGTAAAATTTTTAATTGCATAATTTTTAGGATAATTGAATGACTAAAAATAGACAATTAAGATTATAATCCTAAATACATGTAAAATTTTAAAAAAAATTGTATATATATATATATATATATATATATATATATATATATAAGATGGGTAATGTTGGCTTGAAGCAGAAGCCATTAAGAGTGGGAAGCATTGGATTCTGGGAACACAAAACTTTAGTGTTTGGGAACTAAGATTCAAATGAAATGGATAAGACAAAATGTACCAAAATGCTAAAGCTTTAGCTGTATTCCACTCTACTCAGTTGCATGTAGGGATAGATATAGGATACGAATCTAACGGGTTCTTATTTGATCGGGTCGATTTAAAAAAAAAATATTTGGGTTGGGTCGGGTTGGGTTCGAGTTTAGGGTGAAAAATACTCGACCCGACTCAAAAAATATAATTTTATATTATTTATTTAGGAATATTTACAATAATATCCCTCTATATATAATTTTTTTTTCAATTAAGTCATTGTTTTTATTGAATAAAAATAATATTTTATTATTATTATTTCGGGTAAGGTCGGGTCGGATGAAATTTATTTAATCAGGTCTCGGGTGGAAGATCCTTTGTTCTCGGGTCAGGTTGGGTGGACCAAAACCCAACCCGACCCATGCCCATCCCTAGTTGCATGTTTAAAGTGACGTAGAATTTTACGTTAGAGAAGAATTTAATTTATAAATTTTAGGGGAGACGGACTTAAACTTATAATTTTTAGAGGACGAAAATAGATTTTTAATAAAAAATTAGATAAAAATCTAAAATATATAATATTTTTAAAATTTTAGAAGGACAACCTCTCCCACTCGTGTCGTCCAGATCTATCTCTGCCGCTATTCCGGTATTAATTTCTGTGCTGTGCCCATCCCGTTCATACTTATTATTCATTTTGTTACATTTATACCTATATAAAGTGTAATCCTTTCTCCACCTTTTGTTTACATTGACTATATATATATAATTTCAATTTTTGATGTTTTATGATTCTGAAATAGGAATAATAATAATTTAATTTAATTTTAAAATTAAAAACTATATATTATAAGATGATATTTTTGAATAATCTAAAATCATATTATTATTATTTTTTAAATTAAACTTAATTCGTTTTAAATATTAAAAGAGAGTTTGATTTTCATACTCCACTTTAAATTTGATTATTAGTTCTCTAACTCAAACAATATTAAAAATGGAAAAGGTTTTCAATACTAATTATAAATAAAAGTATATATATATATTGCCAAATAAATTGTTCTCAAGGATTGTTTATTGGGTAAATTACACCCCAAAGTTATTTAATCATGACTTTGATAATAAATATGTCATATTTTAAAAAGTTACAAATAAACCACTCAATTAAAATATTTTTACAATTAAATTACGTAAATATTAGACAAAATAATGATGTGACTTAATATACTAACAATTTTAATCATTAAAACTTATACAATTTATCAATTTGGCCTTAATCTAAAACAATTCAATAAATTTAACTCTTCGTATGTATAAAAATTATATCATTCTAATCTTCGAATTTTTCCTGAAAAATTAGATTTAACTCGTAATTTTTATTAATCTCCCTATATATATTAAAGTATATGTAAAGCTCGGTTATTGTGGTACGTAATGCATGATAATGTGGGGGTGCTTTGGCATTTTAGGAATTAAGAAGTGCATGAAAATACCCAAAACTGAAAGCAAAAGAAACATGGCACCGTATAAAGCAAAGCAAAGCTCTTGGAGAAAGTAGCAGCGAATCCCATCAACTTCCCCTCTATAAAGAACACCCAGTGGCCGAGCCGTAGCTTGTTCAGGGTATGTACGTGCTCATCTTGAATTTCGAATTTTTTCTGATTAGTCTATCTTGAAATATGAATTTTCTTCTATTAATTATTTATTTTATTGAAGACGTTCATCCTGAAATTTTATTTATACTTACCATATTTAAAAATTTCATATGGTTAAAGATATGTGTTTTTACCTTAAAAAATATTTCTGGATCCGTCACTGAGAACACCCATCGAACCATATGCCCTACTTCCCTTCTCTTATATATATATATCACCATCATCATCATTTAACGTTGCTAATAATCTCCCTTTCCTTCTCTTCCTTTTATGTCCCAAAGATATAGGGCAATAACAGTCAACCATGGGAGGAGCTGGTACTTCGTTGTTGTTTATAACTCTTGTAGTTTTGGGAGTTGTGTCGTTTATATCGATCGGAATCCTGCAAAGCGAAGGACACGGAACGAAGACGACGATAGCACGTGGTGACCATCGGTCTTGGACGTCGACGACGACGGCGAAACTGCAGCAGCGGGAAGAGCAAGTGAAGGTCTTAGGAAAAGGAGAGTCGAGTGTGGCGCATCCCAAGCAGGATCTCAACTACATGAGCAAAAGAAGGGTTCCTAATGGACCCGATCCTATTCATAACAGGTACAACTCTAATCATATTTCTGCATGTATACTAATAATTCGAGCTTAAATCATAGAGATCACTTGGTTAAGCGAACTTCGAATTCGGAACATGAACAGTAAAACGAATATGAAAGAAAAAAATGTAATCAACTGTTACATTGAGTCTTGCTGTATATGTTGTATAAACATTCACTTTATTCAATCTCTTAATCTTGCTTATCCACTGCTAATTATCATTGGCATAAAGCATTTACAAAGCCTTGAATTACTTATGTCATGTTAGCAACCTAGCTGATCAGCAAATCAATAGAACTATAAGCTGAGCCAGCATATTTAATAATATACTATTTATACGTAGATAAAGTCGGAAGACTCGAACAAAAAATAAATAGATCGATCGTAATGTTAAATATGTACATATAATATTTTTAAAAATGATTGTATGAATCAACTATTATTTCACGAGAAAAATTATTTCATCTTTATTAGAGATTTTTTGCACTTTTCAACAGACGAGCCGGCAACTCGGGACGACCGCCGGGACAAGCCTAGCCTCGGCATCGATGTGTGTGATCGGGAAGCTTCGAATCAAGCCGAAGTGCTAAAAGATCGATGATGAACGATGGCAACTGCCATATATCTTGTATGTATTTTTTTGTTAGAAGTAGGACTATAACATTAATATTGGGAAAAAAACATTTGAAATATCCAATATTAAAGCTTGCAATGCATGCTTGTGTAGTTCTTTTGATGTGATAGAGGAGTAAACAAATGGAAGCTTGGTTCATACCATGAAAATACATTCCCATCAAAAGCATCTTGCAAAACCCTTTTGTATCAACTTTTAAATATGCATGCATGAGAGGTCATGTACCCCAAATCTATCGAGCGTTTGAATCCTGATATTTGAGAAGTCAACAAAAGGTCTAAACCGTTTCTCGTTTACATTATTAGCGGATTCGGTTTATCGAATGTGTTTCGAGTTTATATTCCGGAGAGAGGAGGGGCATGAGTTCCAAGACTAAAGTGAATTCACCATTAAAGGTGTTAAAGCTCTGAAAAGGAAAAGTTGTTTTGCATACAACTTTGGGTGTTGGTCTTTTTCGCTTGATTCTTTTGGTGACTGTTTTGGTCTTTGGGTCCATTCAAACTTGCATGAGCATGAGATTCTTACAACTCGTGCCAATCAAAGCAAAACAGATCTTGTGTTTGAGAAGCAAAGCAAAAGTATGGTAAGATTCAAATTGGGGCAATTACTGCTAAAGAGAAAGCAAAAGGAGGGAAATGCATATGTATGAAGCTTTTGCTGCATTTTGCATGTGAGATTGATGAATTTTTCTTCTATTTAAAAGTCTTATGAAAATAAAAGTGTACATATTATTAAAGTTATATCTATAATTCGACGATGACAGAGTTATAAGTACATACAATAATTGATTCTTAAATTAGTTATATAAAAGGGTTATAGTCTCCAAGAAATAGAAAATCTCGTATTTATTATTTTCCTGTTAGAGAGTTTATACTTAAGAGAAGTCTATTTTCTTGGAAGATCACAAGTAAAGAAAGATCCAAGGATTTCAACTTATCAATTAATTCAGTTTATTCCGCGTTAACTGCAGATTACTTTAGCAATTGAATTACCATTAAGTAATTCATTTTTCCCTTCGCGGTAACTTTGTTCTGATTAAAGATTTGCTATTAAACATATATTTGTTTAATATTATGTGGAATATATATAAATTAAATTATATATCCAAACTTTATTTTAGTTTTATCTATCGTGTTTTGTTTTAATTTAGTGAAGTAATGATTAAGAAATTTTGAGTAATAGTTAAAGATTTAAGTTTTTCGGTTTCTAATAATGACTTTTAGACCATTTTATTATGATTTATTTCGGAAATTATGACGTGATTAGAAAATTTTATTTTGATTTTTTATTATCATGAATTATAGAATATACATTTGGAATTGATATATTCGATTTAGTTTGGAAAAGTTTTAATTCACTAGTATGTATTTTTTTTTGAAATATGTGTCTTGTATAAGAATTTGTGATAATTCAAGAACTCGATGAAACTATGGACTTCGTTAAAAAACCTCATTAGTCTTAATTGGAAGAAAAAGAGTGCACCATGGCCAAGTCTATGCATCGTGGACCAACGGAGCTTACACAATACAACTCTCAAAAACGCCAGCAGACCTGCTCAACAATACATCCACAGACCACCGTAGTTATACATTCGACTTAATCCATAAAAATGGCTGGTCTCGCGTCACCCCCTCACTTGCAAGGACATTGGCATCGAGGTTCTCTTCCCTATACACAAACTTCACAGACCAAGCAGAAGGAGCGCAACATTCAAAACATCTATTTACCAAATCAGCATAGAGAGAAGGGGATATACTTGGGTTATTAATCCAGTTAACTACCAGTTGGCAATAAGATTCAATACATAGATTCTTAATACCGTTCCATCTGGAAGAGGAGAAGAGCTAGCAAGCCTCATGAATTGCAACAAGTTCAGCGCTAGTTGGATCTGACATTCTAATTGATCGGGAGAAGCGAACGAGGGCTTCCCCAGAGTGATCTCGCAGAACGCCCCCAATACCAGCTTACCCAAAACTTCCGAGAACTGCAACTTTGACATTGAATTTCATATTATTGATATTAGGAGCAGTCCACACACCATTAGTAGATCTACAGGAGACGTTGCTGACGGGCATCTGACGAACTCATTTATAGAGACAACCGAGCTAGGCCAAATGCTTCTTGCCCAGGTTCCAATCCTCAAAAGTGATAAGTCGAATATGTTCTGTTCGTTGCACTGCTTGAATAAAATTCCATTCTGTACTAGCCATATGGTCTACACAATACCAAGGAAACCAACTTCCACAAATTATCAGCATTAACACCCCTACTTGAAACTTGTTCACATAAAACTCTGGGCATATAACATCCATTGGAGTTGCTAACACACCGCAACTCATCATGGCTCACCACGTTATTGACAGCATTTGATAAATAGTTAAAGAAGTTTTGCCACATATCACATTCCCAATTGAACAACCGCCGACGTAAATGGACTCTCTATTCCCAAACAGCACTAACCCTGAACCCGAATTCCTTTACCTTACCCTTCTTTTTCAAACCGAGAGTATAAATACGTGGAAACAAAATCTTAAGAGTGGATCCCCCAACCCACGGATCCGACCAGAAGTCAATTAAGCTACCATCCCTTACAATGAAACGAAGATTACTAATAAAATCATCATCTTGATTCTGCATAGGTCGTGATATGTCTCTCCAAATCCATGGTGAGTGATTCTTAGATGCAACACCCGGAAGCAGCCTTCTCGAATCAGAACCTAAACTAGCATCAATTACTCGCCTCCACAATCCTTCAGTTTCAGTACTGTAACACCATAACCACTTATTGAGTAGGGATCGATTGCGAAGTTTGACGTCAAACACACAGAGACCACCATAAGCTTTTGGCCTAGAAATATTTTGCCATCTGACCTAATGGATAGGACGATTGGAAGAAGGGACCCAGATAAAATTTGCTATCAACTTGTTTAGTGAAGATGCTTTGCCCAACGGGACTTGGAATATGAACATAAAATATACTGGCAGATTTACCATAACTGATTTTACTGAAGTCAAACGTCTGTCAAAAGACCGCAACTTACCTTTTCATCCACTTAACCTTGTTTTGAATTTATCAATGATCGGCTGCCATAGAGATTTTGAATTGCGCCGATGACCCAAAGGAAGTCCGAGGTATTGAGTCGGTAGCGATCCCACACCACACTATGGACTCCGCCCAATTGATTAACGTTCTTTCATCCACATTTACACCAAACAACTTCATTTTCTTCATATTCAGTTTCAATCCTGATGCGACTTCAAAATTTCTTAGGACAGTCTTAATATTAGACAAATAGGGTCCTGATACGGTTCAAAATAAAATAAGATCATCCGCAAATTGCAAATGAGTTACCAACGGACCGTTTGAACCCATCTTCACACCCTAACCATACCGATGTTCGAAGCCTTACGGATAAGAGAACTGAGAGCTTCGCCTAGAAGATTAAAAACTAGGGGTGAGAGAGGGCACCCTTGACGTAAACCCCTATTGATAGCAAAACCAGGAGAGGGAATGTCATTACCACTTGACCCAATCACACCATTTTTGCCCGAAACCCATTTTTTGCATAATAAGGTTTAAGAATGCCCAATCTACAGTGTTGTAGGCCTTTTTGAAGTTCGCCTTGAATATAATCGCTTCACTCTTATTGTGTCTAAGTAAATTGATTACCTCGTTAGCAATTAATGCACAGTCTAGAATATGCTTTCCAGGAGTGAACACAAATTGGATGTCGCTAACAACCTCATTCATGCAGCTTGCAAGTCTCCTAGAGAGAACCCGAGTTAAAATTTTATACAAGCTGCTCACCAGGCTTATCGGTCTGAAATCATTCATTAGCTCTTGACTTGCGACCTTAGCAATTAGTGTAATGAATGAACTGTTGATGGAAGAATCCACCCCGCATCCTTGGTGAAACTGCTCAAAGAAGCTCATCACTTCGCTTTTAATTTCCTTCCAAAACCTTTTAAAGAAGTCGAGGTTGAACCCATCAGGACCAGGCGCCCGAGATCCGTCAGATGAGCTAATTACCGACCAGACTTCATCCGCCGAGAATGGGGCTTCTAAAGCAATAGACGAATGGAAACTCAACTTTTTTCAATCAACATCAAATATCTTGACTGGTAGCGTAGGGACCAGATCGTACATATCTCGAAAATGCTTCACAGAACACGTTGATATCTGCTTATGGTCGCTTATAATTCGATCCTCCACTCGAATGCTCATGATGTGGTTGTTGGAAAATAAACCAAGTACAAGTAATTTCCCTATTACCAGATTAGTGAGAATATGAAATAAAAGCGGAAAAATAATACCCGAAATTGATAACGGAGTTCAGCCAATTGTGCTTACGTCTCCGGACTGCTGCAGATCTTTTTACTAAGAGAGAAAATTTACAGGTGTTTACAAAACACTCACTACTCACAAGAAAGCTCTCTAGTATTGGGAGAAAGAAATGATTTTTGGAATGGTTTTGAAGCTAAATGAGCTAGGGTATTTATAGTTGAAACTTAAGGACTTAATCTTGTAAATACCCTAAAGCCTAGGTATTAATTGTGATTATCCCATTATCATTTTTCAACAAACATCTACCAAACTTTGAAAAACTATTTTTCAAAGAAACATTTACCAAACTTTGAAAACTATTTTCAAAGAAACATTTACCAAACTTTGAAAACCATTTTTTCAAAGTTGGTTACCAAACTTGAAAACCATTTTAATACTTTCAACAATCTCCCACTTGAAGACTGATTTTAATCTGTCTTCACACCTCGATCAATGCAACAGCTTTTCTAGTCTTGTTACTCTAGCATGCCAACTGAAGTTGAACACAACTTCAGTTTGTCTGTAGTCACCGTCTTTGTCAACATGTCTGCCGGATTTTGAGCTCCACTGATCTTTTCAAGTTTCAAAATCCCATCTTCCAAAAGAGACATGATAAAAATGATATCGCAATTGTATGTGCTTTGTCCTGGAATGAAAAGACGGATTCTTTGCTAGATGTATAGCACTTTGACTGTCGTAATACAAGACATTGTTATCTTGTTTCTTGCCTAACTCTTCCAAGAAACTTTGGAGCCAAACCATCTCCTTGCTAGCTTCCGTAACAGTGACATATTCTGCTTCAGTTGTGGAGAGAGCAACTATCTTCTGTAGTTGAGAAACCCAACTCACTGCGGTTCCTCCTAGAGTATA